AATTTAACCAGCGGGGCAGATGACAGCAGTGTCATTCCTTGCAAACTTCTGGGGAATGTAATCCAGTTAATATTGCCCTTCTACAACATGTATGTACTGTATAAATACTGTATGTACAGCTTTATCCAACATGGAAAGTCATACATAAGAAAACTTAAAAGGAATCTGACCCTGTCTTGCCTACTATGTAAATGCTGTGATGTCCTTTATAATATTAGAAGAGTTTTAGCATAGGAGCCCAACAAAGTTGTTTGTATATACTGTATATGTATCTGCAATATAATACAATAATAATGTTTCAAACTTCTCTGATTATAATATACATACAGGTAGGGAAAATGCACTAATTAATTATTAACTTATCAGTCACCAATGTTTTGAAATTCAAAAGCATCTGAGTGTGTATGGGTTGCATGCTAATCTTACATCTGAAGAAAGTTTCATAATGGGGCACCAGATAATTTTTTTACTCAATTGTAGACTTTAATGAACCATTCAGGATTTTTAGCTCTCAGAGCTACTATAAATATTAGTGTTTTGCAGAACTTGTCTTTACTTGAAAGTCCTGTTTGGCAGGGGCTGGGAAAGAGAGTGATAAAGATGTTTTGAGAATTGAAACAAAAACAGTTACACAGAAAACATGGATACTTTATTGGGTCACTAAACATCTGATAAAACATATCTTTTAAAAAAAGTGACACGTTTTAAAGTGGTTCAATAACAAGAAAGGTATATAAAAGCATAAATCTTTCCAGTGACATACAACAGATATCGACATGATGTTTCAGTGGATTTATAATTTTTTTTCTGTTCAGGAGTCTTTATAAAGGAGGTCTACTGGGATCTGTCGATTTCATAAAAGTTGAATGAGATTTTTTTAAACAAAATTAATTTACTGGTTAATGTCATGATACATTTTACTGTATTATGATACATTACTTCAATACTTAGCTGTTATGAATCATTGGAATTTTGTAGATGTAGTTTATCCTATGTTACTTTGGACAAATGTTTTCATAGGAGCAGTTTTGAGGTAAATAGCATTTCTGACCATTCTTTAAATGTAAGAACATTACAGGTTCTGCACAATTGTCCCATTTCTCAAACAAAGTGCAGTGTGATTTAGCAGACAGGACCTACTGTAATACTAACCCATTACTTTGATATAAACAACAATAATGAAAGTATGATATGATCAATTCTTTAAAAAAAATTGTCAGAAGGGCCTAAGATTAAAATATTTTAATTCTACATGTATCAAATCATCCATTGATTTTCTAACTGCTTTATCCAATATACTGTACAGCATCGAGGGAGAACCAAAGCCTACAAGTAAAATCAGTAGTTATAAAAATAAACTAAAACGTCATTTAATAACAAGTCTTGTGTAGACTGCAGATTACAATACCAATTTTAATATTAAGATGTTTCTTTTTTAATACAGCAAGAATAGGTTCTGCAACAGTAATTTTGGTAGCATCCCCATCTAGTGGTGAATCATGACAGTTGTCATTGAATATTGAAGAATTTAGCTTAAACTATTGCTGTATAAAAACAAATTAAACAACAGTGTTGAAAATAGGCAGTCAGTGTCAGTGGTGAAGCCAAATTTTAGAGCCTAGGAGTCCAAAATGCAATGCATATGGAGATAACAGGAGAAAGCTGTATTATTCTTGATCCCTACAGCCACAAATAGTCTGTGTGCACCAATGTGCTTGGGAGGTTTGTGTTGGCTAGTTATGAATTTACTGTTATATTCATTGTGGCAGGCAAGATTAAACGACTGAAAATTCTGCTGATTGTGTGATTCTGTGATCCTCAGCTCTGGAATATACTGTAAATGTCAATCTATAAAGCTGATGGGTTTCTTTAAGCCATTGTTATTATTTTTTTACTTTTGGAAGGGCCTTATATAAATGATTTAAGTAGAGCTGAGTTGGGTAAAATTAGCAAACCCATTCACAGTTTTACTTAAAAGTTAAATTTTTTACATGTAAAAATATGAAATATGTACATATGATTTATTTTTCCAAAAGGTCATGAGCTTGTGGTTCATTAAAAATATATATCTGGAGCGTTTAGAGCCAACAAAGAAAGACCAAATATTTTATATTATAGGATGGTCTGTCCAGAAAAAAAGGCAACTATATTTTCTGATAATGTATTTGAAATTCAATTTATGAGAAGACATACAATTTCACCACATCTCTCACACACAATAAAAATGTAGACGACTACAGATGTAAATGAATTCCTTCTCAGATTTACAATGGTTATATCTATTCAGGGTTGCGGGAAAGGTGTAATCCTTCACCCACCTCCAAACCTTCTGTATATATTTAATTGCTTCCAATTTTGTGACCTGAAAAAATACAGTACAGACTAAATATATTACTCATTCACATCCTGTGAGTGTGCCAAGTTCAATAAAACAATAACACATGTGAGGTAAGCAACATTTCAAATTAACTCCTGTCATAACCTGAGTTTTCCAGGAGATGAATAATGTAAAAAAATATACACCAGCCCTTTGCACCATTGAAATCTGCATACTTGTTCATACAGTATTTAGTTAGAAGCCTGCAAACCTTAGATGGCTCAGAAATCACCCATTTTGAATTATATGGATTTTTTTTTACATTTAGCACTTTTAAAAATGGCATGTCTGAATGAATTATCTTTGTTTTGAGCCCATATCTTTGTTTTTTCCATACACAATAGTTGCTCTTATACAACAAACACTAATTTTGCTATTATAAATCTGTGTCTTGTTTTCATAGCAGGCACCTCATACTGTATAAAGCCCTGTTCAGTGCCTGTGCAAATAAAAGCGGAAATTATAAAATAAAAATACAACGACAGTATTTTCTCACGGTTGTCACCCCCTAAAAATTGCAATTCCAATAGCATTAGACAATCTGACTTACAAATTGTTTTATCATACGTGTCGACTGACACCCACTGCTGTTGACAAGATACAAGAAAAGCTTTTCTGAACAATGTGCTTTTTTTTTTTGCAAATCCTACACCCTTATTGCCTGCCCATACTGTATCTTGAAACTAAACATTTAACTTCACTGTGTGACTACAAACACCATGATTGTTCTGTATTTTGCAATTTAAAATTTCTTCTTAGTATTGCACTGTAACTATGCCTACAGACATCCAAGTATATAATGTTCAATGTACAGTATTAACTAAATCGCCACGGATAAAAGCCAACACGAACTAAACAAATGGAGCAAATAAACACGTCACGGTCCAAGCACGTAATACTCTTTCACAACAATATGAAGCTGATTTATAGATGCTAGGTATTAAAATTTTAGAACTAAAAAGAAATAACGTGTTTGATTGTCTATGCAGCTACAGCATGATCCCAAGCAGGCCATACCCGTTGCCATAGGGACAGCTCTCCCTGTTTGTTTCGGATTAATATCCAGAAACGACTCCATGTTTTCCACCTTTGACTCGGGAAGTATTCATGCTGTCAGCATTACGGAGGAGTAACGGTACATGGGGGTAATCTGGCATTGCAGTGTCCTGTAGTACGGTTTCCTTAATTTAGAAGTCAAAATACATATTTTGTTATTTATTCATGTTACAGTAAAACAGGGATATTTGTCTAACCCAAGCAATGGCTGTGCATTTACCTCCTTGCGTTATTGACTGTGGAACTGGGTGAGCTAGCGATTGTATTTAATTTTTGTTTTTTAATGATCAGTCTACTTATTGCACATACTTAAAATTGAACAAACACCTCTACGGCACACGTACTACATAAACACGTTTTACACTGAGGTTTTCTTAATGAGTGTTGTCTAAAATGATGGTCACTGACATTTCTTTTGGTTATTATAGTGTCATTACACGGGTGCACGTCGTTTAATGACAGGATTACAAGGCTAACAGGTTAAAGTTAAACTTGACATTTATCACATTGTAGGGAAAGACAAGAATAAATGCTATTTTTGGACGCATATATCATAATATGATAATCTTGCCTGTGGTTTGAATTACATTATCAACTTGTTCTATATACCAAGTAAAATATGAAAATAAATAATAGCTATTATTGTATGGTAGCTATGATACTGAGGGTAAAATAATTCACATACAAATGTTAACACTTTTGTACTGCAGTTGTAAATTTAAACAACAATTAAATTGGTATACAATGGTAGAAAAATAATATATCTAAAGCAAAGTAATCACCAAATATTGCTAAATGAATTATGAATATGAAATATCTCTGAAATACTTAAGTAGTACTTTTGTATATAATCTTGGGCTCAGCTTTTCTCACAATAATAGTGGTCATATTTTGTTTGTTCAGATTTAACTAAAGTGGCACAAATAAATGAAATTCAAAATAAAAGGTTTAGTGTTTTTAATACCGTATGCACATCTGTTGATAGGCCTATATACTGTACTGTATGGCCCCCTTTCTTTGCAAAATTAAGATATTTTACAGTCTGTGCGTGGCTCAGATTCTGTAATAGTGATTGGTACTTTTTTTTTGTAACATAAAATGTTCTAAAAGTTCAACACAGCATTTAGCTGAGAACTGATTTTACCCTTTTCATTTATGATTTCGTGGAGGGATGGGTAATATTTACCATACAAAATGAAAAAGTGGAAACATGAAATTCAGGTTTCTAATCTGCTTCCCTGTTGATGAAATGTCTCTAAAATGGGTGTGTCATTTGTCATGGACTGGGCCATATCATTAGTTTGCTGTGACTGAGATTCCTTAAAGTCACAACTTTAAGCGGTACACAATTCACCAGGTATTGCACAGATTGGTAGGTTTGGGACAGCTGGGTTATTGTAGCATATTAGTGACCACAGTGACGATCTGGGTGCCTTTGAGTTTACAGTGGTTTTAGCCTCATCTTTCCTCCATTCTATGCAAATGGTGTTGTAGGAACTTCAGAGCTTCAGAACTCCAATGGTGCATCCCTGAGAGGAAAACACGGTCACTACTCAATCTTAATGTGTTGATTAGTAGGCTGTAATCAACTGTGAAAGCTGACTACTGTAGACGTAGCAGTTTGGGATTCTAGACAGGGGCAAGAGGACTAATCAAACGTGTACTGTACAGTATGTTAACCTCTATGTCCTTTGATGTATTATCCTTTTCAAATCTCATGTCTGTAACAAAATAAATATTTTATGTAGCTGGTTATGTCATATTTTTAAAAGACTGTATCTGTGTATATCTTTGGTTGCAATGAATAATCAGTCAAGATTTTTGGATACTGCATAAACTTTCAGATGGGTGCATTATTTTCCTAACGTTGTTAGTGTATCGTAAGGGAATTAGAATGTTAAATTTGCACTACAGTATCTTGTTAGGGCATTGGTAGGCCTCCGTATTTAAATGTAAAAAGACCTGAAAACTTGTAATTATCATGACAGATATTGATGAGGAATGGAGGAGTTTCAATTTTGATGTTCTTTAGTACATTTCATCGTATTGATCAAGCCTGCTTACAAATTTGAGTTTAGTCATGCAAGTGATGTTCATTTTGTCTCTAAGAACTACAACATTTTCTTTCCATTAAAGTATATGATATTGGTTTTTGTATTTCTCACATTTAGGCTTACAACACAGACAATGCAATGAACAGATTAACAGGTGCTTGTGAAATACAAATTGCTTTCTGTTGGCACCACTTTAAATCACTGAATTTGACAAACAGGCATTTGCAATAATAATGCAGAATTATATATTTGGGTCTCACTCAATGCAGGCCTATATTTTGTGTTTTTCAAAGGGGTTTTAAACAAAAATAAAACTAACACTAAGTCTGCTCTGTACCTACAGATACACAAAGATTGGCTATGCTGGGAATACTGAACCACAGTTCATCATACCTTCATGTGAGTATTAATTAAGCAGTTAAGGCCATGAAAATATAGCCAGCTTTTATAGTACTGAGTACTGAGATTCAAAGGAAACAACTGCAACAGATTCTCAAAGTTATTATTAGGAAAATAACCATCTGCTTTGTAGCATTTTCTGAAAACACACACATATGGAGTGTTACATTTCTTTTGATGCTCAGTACACAGTGATACACTTTCTTACATTAGGTCAAAAACTATGATGTAGAAAAAGCAGTTGAATAATACTCCAAGAAATAACTAGGTGGTGCACAAAAATCGAATGTACATTATCTAAAAAACACAAATAGGTGCATTATGAAAAAAGTCATAATTTCTTTTCGAATACGCCTCTATTAAGGATAGTAAGAGTTACCGTATTCTTTGTTTCATGTTGACAAAGTAAAGATGTAGTAAGCTGCACAGAACCTGTGATTAGATTTATAAAAAGCAGAGGTTATTCTTGCTGCAAGGGCTACACATGACATTTTCATGCAAAATGCAATGAAATCCATTGTATGTGTAACCTTCCCTTTAAAGCTCATTTTTCTGCATATGTGCAGGATACATTGTGTAGCACATACAGCTGTATCTGAAAACAGAAGAGACAAATGTGCTGTTTATCATCATCTGTTGAATCTTGTCATGACCTTTAAGCATTAAAAATACTCATATTAAAAATATATATTTCTCTTTAGCATGCACCAAAACGAATGGCTCAGTCACACACTGTTAAAGTTATATATCTCAACTTTCTTGTCTAAACTGAATCCCCCGTATTGAGTTACTCATACAGTAGGTCTTTATTTTTCCTGTGGGATGACAGTAGGCAGTAAATGAACTGTGTGACTCATACAAATTCTTATTTAAATTGCCAAGGCAGTGTCATTTTGACAAGAAATGAAATTAAATAAATGTCTTCAGCTGACCTATGATCCACAAAGAGAAACAAGAGCTGAACGTTTCAGTACTTTTGAGAAAAACTGAAACACTAACATGTTTAACAGAAAGTTTTTTCCTGTTTAAGTAGATATTCTTGGGTGGCACGGTATTTTGCATTGCTGCCTTGCAGTGCTGGGGCCCTGGGTTCAAATCCTAGGGTGCTATCTGCATGGAGTTTGTATGGTCTCCCCATGTGTGCATGGATTTTCTTAAGATGGTCGGATTCCTCTCACAGTCCCAAGACATGTTGATAGGTAAATTTACTATTAGGAAAATTGCCCCTGGTGTGTGTGAACCCACCACCCAATATTGGATAAAGGGGTGAGAAAATTGATAGATTAATGGGTATGACTGTACTTCTGATCAAATGCAGCTATTTTTCATGCAGTCTACAAATTATGAAAGGCTATGATTTTAGGATTTTAAGATTTTGAGCATCAGAAAACAGGGCATTGTGTACTTCACTGAGACCAAGTCACACACCACTAGAGAGCTGCTGAAGGAAGAGTTGATGTTGAGCCCTGTTACTGTAGAGCCTGTATTTAACGTTTTCACAGTCTTTTCACCGGCAATTTCCACAGAGGTGCCTATGCTTGGGGATAGCTTGAAACATTATGGAAGAACAATGGGTTGGAAATTGGCCTAATTACTGTATATTAAATTTGATTTTTTTTCCTTTGGAGGTATTGCTATAAGAGAATCTGCAAAAGTGGGTGACCAGGCACAGAGGAGGCTGATGCGTGGAGTGGATGATTTAGATTTCTTCATTGGAGATGAAGCTATTGATAAGCCAACCTATGCAACAAAGGTGAAGCATTTCTGCTCCACAGGGGAGGGAAGGGTTCTGTTGTTGATCTGTTCATCATCTTATTATTGTCAGAGATTGCCTGCTTCAGTTCAAAATTACTAACCTTCATTTCTTCAGTGTCAGATAATAATGAGGTTCTCACAAGGTCACATTATTAGTTGTAGTCTCAGGTAAATTAATTTTTTATAGTGTGTTGGATAACATTTGCTGCTTTTTAAAAATCTCTCTACCGAATACAGAACAGCATATTCTATATGATTTTGAAGCTGTCATTAATTTCTTGCTTTTTTTTAGTGGCCAATTCGACATGGTATAATTGAAGACTGGGATTTGATGGAGAGATTTATGGAACAAGTAATATTTAAATATCTACGAGCAGAGCCTGAAGACCATTATTTTCTTATGGTGAGAAATGCAAAGACAATGTGACAAAAATATATAAATACTGTATATAAATACAAACATTCAGACTTTGTTATCTACTATACATCTATTAATATGCTATTCTATGACTTTTTTTTACAGTATCATCATTTGAATGCTTTAAATATACTCTGCAACGTGTATATACAGTGCAGATTTTAAATAACTATTTTTTGTTGTTGTTTGTAGACAGAACCTCCACTGAATACTCCTGAGAACAGAGAATACTTAGCAGAAATCATGTTTGAATCATTTAATGTTCCTGGTCTCTATATTGCTGTGCAGGTACACAGATGTATCATTTAATACAATTTTTAGCTCCCATGGGTATTGTTGGTATAAGTGACATTCTTTACTTTTTCTTGTAGGCAGTATTGGCTCTGGCAGCTTCTTGGACTTCCAGGCAGGTTGGAGAACGTACGCTGACTGGTATTGTCATAGACAGTGGCGATGGAGTGACTCATGTGATTCCAGTGGTAAGAGGCATGTTCCTCATTTTAGATGTGGTTTAAACTGAAATATATTTAAACTATCATGCTCATGGAATGTAAAATACAAATCTAAAGTAGATGTTATAAAAAAGCACATCTTAGTATAGATTTTTTCACAGCAATCTTGTAATGTAATACTGTTAATGTTAATTATTCCTTTAAAAACAGTTATTGTTTGGTATTCTGAAGCTTTCTAAATAAAAAAAATTATGTCCTTATCAGAGACACTGCAATGCAGAAGGAAAAGCCTTCTTTGTTGGCTGTTTTTGTATATTCACCAGAAATCAGACCCGTGGATTTAATGGCATATTGCAAAACTAAAATTCTCAGTACCACTGGCTTTAAGAAGACGCCACGGTCTTTGAGTAGAAGAAACGTCTTTTAAGGGGAAGTATGATAAGCACCCCCCAAATCTAGCCTGTTTAAAATGTCCATTCATCCACATGGATGAATATACACCCGCACCTCTTTTTATAATGTAGAGAGTGAAGAGGAAGGCGTCATGCGACTCGGTTCATATCGAATGTACGCATCACCCTCCAGTTATAAGGGCGACGGCCAGCCCAGAGTCTGCGGAGTGGCGTGAGAGACGTGTGTGATACAGTTCACCGCGTCTCGCCTCTCTTCCTGCGCTGTTCGCCATTGTAACGGATCCGCCCCAGCGCATAACGGGGGTTTTGGACGCCCGGGCTGGGGAACGTGTTCTTTAGCTCGGCCGGCAATACCCCTGTTCGAGCTCATGCGGTGAGGGAGGACGTGGGGCGGGAGCGGCGAGGGCACAAGCCCGAGAACACAGTATTGTGTGCGCTCTTACTTTTCGTCTAAGATCTGTTGACATTATCATGGGCCTAAGGGTGTCAAGGAAAGGAAAGCTGTGAGTGTAGTTGCACAAAAAAGGCAGGTGAATTGGTTACCACAGTTTGAATGTTACTTAATATTGCTTCTTTTGTCCTTTTTTGGAGAAATAAGGAAACTTAGGGGTGACATCTTTGGATTTGAACGGATGTTTCCCCCCAGTTTCTTTACGAATCTTCTAACGAATTTTCGCTATATGTAAGGGTTTCTGGGAACGAATTACGTTCGTAAAACGAGGTACGGGTGGGCAGTATTTAACCGTTTCTGGATGAGCAGTGAAAATTAGAGCAATGCTGCTTACAATGTAATGAGAGCTGTCAGAGTGCTGTGCTCTGTATTTTCTCTTTTTCCACAGGCAGAAGGATACGTCATTGGAAGCTGCATCAAACACATCCCCATTGCAGGCAGAGACATCACGTATTTTATACAGCAGCTCCTGAGAGAAAGAGAGATAGGAATCCCTCCTGAGCAGTCTCTGGAAACGGCAAAGGCAGTCAAGGTAAGTTACGGACTGCTCATGCGAGAACAAGAGATTTATTCCTGCAGTGAGCCGAAACCTTAAATTAAATTCTGCCAATTCATTTTTTTTCAATTTTCAGTCTCTGTTAATCACAGCGTACCTAGATGAGGAAAAGGGACAGCTCTTTTGTACCTTCGCTTTAAGAAAAAAAAGTCTGCTGGTTTACAAATTGAGAAGTGGCACACATATATAGAAACTATTGTTTCTCTTACAGATAAGATGCCTGTTCACATCAGTGTCTAACGTAGGTTGTTTCTTTTGCAAAATCTGATCTTGAAAACCATGACCGTGTAATGAGCCCTAGCCTCCAATCAGATTAAAACATTGCTACACATGCCGAACATAAAATAAAGATCCATGTAACTGTGCACTATATGACTCTTTCTCAGGAAAACTCATTCCTGTTCCTGTAACTTTTACGTGGGACAGGGGAATATAAAACTGGAGGGAATTTGTAATTGAGATTTTAGTATAGAGCAATATTTTGCTCTGTCCTAAACTGTTGCACACTAGCTAATCCATTTTAAATCTTGTGCACAGATAGTATTGCTCTATAATGTATTGCCTTGTGGTGAACCACCAGCTCAAGCCCAAGAACTGACTGGTACAGCTTAGTTTGGGGGAGAAGAACCCAAATTTGACATGTCACAAATGTTTTAACTTGGTCAGAACAACTCAAAATAAACTATACATGGTAAGATCCAGCTACATATACTGTACAATATGTATATTATACAGCTGGATAAGATCCTTGGATCAGTTAACTACTAACTATAAAGCAACCTAGATGGGCCAAATGCTCTCATTTGTAATCATTCTTATGTTCTTGCGTGCAGCTAATAGGTTCAAAGTGCAGATTTGAATTATTTATGATTTCTTGTTTACTCTCTCTACCCTTAGGTTTGTTCATGTGGTATCGAGTGTTTGCCTAATATCTCATACATAATTAAGTTCCAATCAATATATAATTAAACAATACTATAAGGGAACAAGTAATAGGTTTATTCCATGCTGAAAAGAGAAGAAAGAAAACACAACATTTCGGCCATGGAACCTTCTTCAGGTGTGAAAACCTTGTGTTTTCTTTCTTCTGTTTTCAGCAGGGAATAAACCTATTACTTGTTCCTTTGAAGCCTACGCATGCTGACGCAGCTACCCACATGAACTACTTCAATACTATAATGTATGTGTGCAGTATTAACAAATCTATTCATTTATTAGGAAAGGTACTGTTACATCTGTCCAGATATTGTCAAGGAATTTACAAAATATGACACAGATCCTGGAAAATGGATAAAGAAGTACAAGGGCATTAATGTCATAAGCAAAAGAGAATTCCTGATAGATGTTGGATATGAAAGATTCCTGGGCCCAGAAATCTTCTTTCATCCAGAGGTAAGATGTCTTCTCACACAAATTCGTTTTTAGAAATGAACCATTTGGAATTGATGGCTTTCTAGCGACTTGGTTAAGTGAAAAAGTTTACTTTCAAATATAATGTGACCTATTTCATAATGTTGTATCTTATTTCAGCACACATTTGAGGTAGCACTACAGTGGCAGTAAAAACTGATGGAATGCAAAAACAGATAGATTAATCTGTGTTCTGTTGGTTGTGATATTTTATAAATACAGTGCCTTCATACCTTAAATACAGAGGATAAACTAAGTTGTGCTGATAACAGATTTTTTTTGTAGTTTGCCAACCCTGATTTTATGCAGCCCATTTCAGATGTAGTTGATGAGGTAATACAGAATTGCCCAATAGATGTCAGACGGCCACTGTACAAGGTAAGGTTTCAAAATGGCACGAGCCTGGGAGACATCACTCTGTCTAATTATCCTCTCCCTGTACGAAAGAGCACAGTCATACTTCTTTCTTCTGCTTTTTCCTCCTGCTTAAAACGTTCTTGACACAGTGTCCATACGAAATCCTCGCTCAGTAGCAACACAGATCCTTTTTTGTATCAAGTGCCTGACTGCAGCAATTACGTCAGTCTGCACCTAACATCTACACCTTGGAAATTGCTCACAGTTTAGGATGAGTCCAGTTGCCAGTGTAGCTGATTAAATCGAGCTTGTACAGACTATCATTGTTCAGTGGTTATTATGCATAGAAGAATAGTTGTGCATAGTTATGGATACAGGAATTCAAGCTCAGAAGTAATAAAGACATATGATTAGAGTTGTAAATACACTTAATAAGAAGAATACTTTCACTGGATGATACAGTGCTAGATTGGTCTGTCTTGATGTTGATTCATGCCCTGACTATATATGGTAATGTGAGAGTCCTTCAGTCCTACGTGTCTTGGAAGTGCGTATGTGACTACTATTCTCCTTGGTCAGGGGAAGAGATAGAATCATAAAGAAAAATGTTAAAGATTTAAGGTTCTTTTGCAATCAACTTTCAAAGCTACTTCAAAATAGTATTCAATATGGTGCATATAGTAAAAGTGTTTAATCATATAGGCCTATTAATTGCCACAAAGGCTAAAATGCCCGGGCAGATTTGCAGCATTTACGTACACTGCCAAATTGCAAACCTGTAATTAAGAAATGTAAATGTTTCAAGGTTTCAATGATTTAAGGGAGTATTTTAACAATATATCTATAGCATGTACAGTAAACTAGATGGCAGTGTTTACCTTATAAACGCCAAACATTTCCTTTACAGTGCTCAATATATTAGTCTTGCAGTTAGAAAGCAGTTCAGGCAAATGTTGTTTTATTGTTATTTTAATATGGCACATTTGCAGCAGATCAGTGGTTCAGACCTTTAATAGTGTGCTTCAGACCTTTTGTACTGAAAGCCAGTTTTTTTACTTGTTTGTTTTCCTTACAATTCTTTAATTTTATCCTAAAAGGTAAGACTGTAACTGAATAGTACTCAAAATCACTCCTAAATTAAGGATACAAAACTACCGATAGCAAATCGTAATGAAATTCACAGTAAATACAGTTGTTATGCAATCTGAAGTGTGTTTTTCTGAGCTGACCTATGACTAAAAGAGCTTCTTGGTGTGGGATAAATGTGCTGAAATGTAAATCTAATTTTCTGTATATCATGTGAGGAATGGGATAGCATATCCATCATTTAATCTGCCTGTCTAGCACTGGGAGTGAAAGGGCCTGAGGGTGGGAGAACTCAAGATGGTGTGGCTTTCAGAATGAGATATTGTATCTTGCACTGATACACAATAGCATGATTCTGTAAACGGCTGGATAAATTTCCCCTGACACCATTAACAATGGATTGACCCCTGCAACGAGGGATGAAGCCAGAACTGCTGTGTAAGTCTTTGTTATCAGTGCCCATCAATGTGTGAGCCTGCTAGAGGATGTTTTCTCATTTTCCAAATTGCCTCTTCCCCATGAGAACCAGCTAAATGCCCTTATTTTGGTGTCAGAAAATGCTCAGTTTTTATGAATTAACTGAAAAGTCCTCCTGCTGTTGAGCTTACTGCTCATTTATTTATTCACAATAAAACTGTTAGTGCTGTAATTTGTGCATGTATAGAGCTGTAGAGATTCTGATAAAAAAAATCCTTTTCTGACTGCAGATCTAAAAGTTAATGTCTGAAATCTCAGTGTTGATGTTTCAGTAAAATGTCCTTGTTGTATTTTTGATATGTTGCAGAATGTTGTCCTTTCTGGTGGATCTACGATGTTTAGGGACTTTGGACGACGTTTGCAGAGGGATCTGAAGAGAGTGGTTGATGCCAGGTTAAGACTTAGTGAAGAGCTAAGTGGCGGGAGGATAAAGGTATGATTGAGTGGGCAAACAGTAAACAATAATGCAGATTCACCATTTAATCATACTGGAATTGCTTTCACATACCATCAGAAAAATTCTGTTGCAATGGTTAGAACTTTGTAAAGTCGTTAGTACTGTATGTATAATCGTGTGCTCTTTTCAAAGCAACACCTATGGTTTGACTTTGTAGGGCATAAGTGAGTCGTTGCTGTCCACTTCACTGTTTACTTTTTGTAACATAAGACTTTTGGGCCACATATACTCATTTTTCTTTTAGATTTTCTGTATAACATTTAGCTTAAAAATTGTCATTAATATTAAAGCATAGAGTCAGCAGCCATATCCCCCTGTAGCTCTCAACCGGCTACCCACTGAAGCTAAGCAGGGTTGAGCCTGGTCAGTACCTGGATGGGAGACCTCCTGGGAAGCTATGGTTACTGCTGGAAGTTGTGTTGTGACCAGTGGGGGGTGCCCACCCTGTGGTCTGTGTGGGTCCTAATGCCCCGGTATAGTGGCAGGGACACTATACTGAAGTGGGCGCCGTCTTTCGGATGAGATGTTAAAACGATGTCCGGACTCTCATTGGTTGTTAAAGATCCCCGGGCATTTCTTGATTAGAGTAGGGAGTTACCCCAGTGTCCGGGCCAAATTGCCCCCCACGGCCTTTACCGTGGCCTCCAAATGGTCCCCATGTGTGATTGGCTTGCACTGGCCCTGCGATGGACTGGCGCCCTGTCCATGGTGAACCCTGCCTTGCGCTCGTTGGTTGCCGTTTAGGCTCCGGCTTCCTGCGACACCGTGTGGTATAAAGCGCTTTAGCACATGACATGACATGACAGTATAGATTAGACACCGTTGATTAATGTTTTATTTCTGTTGTATTATTGTAGCCCAAACCCATTGAAGTTCAGGTAATAACACATCACATGCAACGCTATGCAGTTTGGTTTGGAGGTTCCATGCTTGCTTCAACGGTAAGTAAAAGCATCACTAAAAGGGAAATGATTGGGTTTTTTACTGAATAAAACTATATTCAGTTTTTGCATACTGAGAGCCAAGTGCTCCAGTTTTCAGCTGCAGTAGTTTTTTTTTTAACACAAATATGTCCTTTACAGTGAAACTAGCTTACTGTAGGTTTTTAAAGACCTATTTCTGATATCTGACAGTAAAACCCCTCAATAGAAACAATAAATATTCATGCACTGTAGGTGTTCTAAAATTCTCCTGAATTGGCTTAGTTTTGCCACGCAGTGTCCTGTATACAGTAGCCCCTCTTGCCTCAGAAATACTTCGAAGAGCAGTCTGTTTCTTTAAATGCCTTTAAAATAGTTTCTTGGGAAGTGAATGTGCACCTAAGAGTAAAGGATTTAAAACAAAAGAACAGCCTAACAGTGCCGGAAATTTAAAAGTTACAGTTATTTCATCTATTTTTCATTTTCACTGGTCTGAAAATGGGTCTTTCTCATTACTAAAGGAAATTTATCAGTACATTCCACAGCAGTACTACAATATTGTACACCCAATACACAATACACCCAATTTTGAATTCAGAATCTTCTCCTGCTTCTTTATATTTCTGCAGCCTGAATTCTTCCACGTGTGCCACACTAAGAAGGACTATGAAGAGTATGGGCCCAGTATCTGTCGCCACAACCCTGTCTTTGGAGTCATGTCATAATGTTGTGCTTTTGTCAATGAACACTTTGGCAGTAAAAGGTGAACATTGTGACTTGTAATGCTGGTACCAGGGATGGGAAGAAAACCTGCTGTCAGAAAGACTAGAGGCACTTCAAGTGAAGCCATACAATGATGACTGTTTTCTAGCATTGATTTTATGTCCCTCATAATGCTCCTGTTCTGCAGAGCAGACTTAGGTTGTGCAAAGGCTAAATTCTATATCTAATTATTTGGGCTGTGGAAGAGGGCACTCAAAGATAATTTTTTAAGCAGCCCTAAAAAAATGCAAAATGCAAGGCTTTCAAAATGTATATAGAATATATATATATAGACTATAATTGCTAAGTATTGCAAACTTAGTTTATATTTCAAATTATTTTGTATTAAAAAGTACGAGAAAGATAGTCGGAACCTAAAGGTACTTAATGTATGATATGCTGTAATGACTTGAAATCAAGGTGTCTAGTTTAAGTACAGTAACAGTGCAGTTGTAAGGCATGTGAATAGTTTTAATAGGTTGTATGTTATTAAATTATTTTTCTCATCCATGTATGCAGAAATTCAAGGTGGTTTTAACTTAAAATTATGTAATTAATATATATTATCTATCTCCTATAACATTTATTTATTATTATCACAGTTAATTTACCTATACTATAGAAGAAAGTAAGTTATTACTTGAGGGTTTTTTTTTGCTGATAGCTAAAAGGCTGCATCAAAACAATCTTAATAAAGACACTTCACACCTTTTACAGTTGATATACAGCAGTCTTATTGTTTTCTTACTTTAAAGCATTTAATTGTTTTTTTTAAACAATTATTTTCCAATTCTACATAATCTTGTAAATTCCTGGACAGTAAAACACTTTAGCACTGGTGCAGTAATTGCTTTTGTGGTGTTCTGGCATTTTTACATACTAAAAACAATGTGAAAAGGGTAAGCGTTACTTCAGTTTTGAATAAAACAGCAACAAATCATTAAATAATTATTATGACCGACTTTAGCTTTTCCATAACATAATCAAAGTCTCATTCTCACATTACTAAATGTATAAATCAGATATTTATTTTTGGGCATCACTATTATGGTTCAGAAATGATATGATGTCACAACATTGGATACTCAGACTTGCACCCATCAATTCTAATAGATATAACCCCTGTATATTGTAGAGAGTGCATAATGGTTGAGCATTACTGTAATAGTCATTATAGGGGACATTTATGTTATTGTGGATATAAGATGTTCTTATCAAGTGGTTTAGCACTTAAAGGTGCCCTTGAAGTCCAACTGCCTGAGTTCAGTGTCCAGGCAGCTACAATGATTCTGATAACATGCAATATTTATTGAATATTATCCAGAGCTGCAAGTATTTTTGCTCCCCTCTCCATATATATGGTACAAAATATGGGTTGCCATTATTATAACATTCTAATTAAAAGAAATGAATTCGGCCCATCTAGCCCATTTGGTAGTTAATTGATCCAAGGATCTCATCCAGGTGTTTCTTAAAAGAAGTCAGGGTTTTGGCTCTGACAACATGCCCCCAATTGGAGTATTCACTCCTCATGTCTCCTCTGTTTTCTATTTATTAGCCAATCGAGATTTAAAGGTAATGCAAATGTAATATAAAAGGAAATGTTCTTGTATAATTGCAAGATTTCTTGTTATAAAACATAGATTTAACCTTGGTATGTAAAAAGTAGATTTTCTTTCTACACTCTACACAGACGGATGCTTTGCTATACCCAAAAGCTCAGTCAAGACCTGAAAAAACTGCGTGATACATTACATCCCTCTCTGAAATGAGTTTTGGTATAGCCAATATTGCTGTGCTCTGGATTTTTTATTACAGAAAAAATGACCTTTTCATTTCTAACAACAGGTACACTTCCATAAATGTTTGCTAGGAGAAAGAGGGTAGAATAATGCACATACAGAAGATAAGTTTTTCATTAGATTTATTAGACCTATTAACATCCTGCTCAGATATATTTATTTACATCTTGAAATATTGAACAATCTGTTTTAATTCAATAGATGCATTCCAATCAAGATGAAATCTTTACTGCTACTCTATGTAAGTTAATGCACTTGTTACCTTCCCGAAATTACTTTACGTGTGCCTTCCTTCCAGCTCCTGTTACTCTTGGGATCAGACTACACAATCTTTAAGGGCACCATATTTAAAAAAAGTGTTGCTGAAACTCCTGCCATCTCACTGAATTTGAGATTCTGCATTCTTGTGTACTTTTATTGACAGTGTATCTCTAGTCCAGAACACTACAGTCTTTGGGCTGTATGACGTTCAGCTGTGACTATCACAAAGAACAATCACAATTTAAAAAATTTAAAAAAAAAGAAAGAAACCCATACGGTATGTCCTGCATATCAACTGCTGCTCTAAAAGCCTCTTACTGTTTGTCACTATTCCCGTGAATTTGATTAATGACACAGAGGTCATGGGTTTTAATTGCAAGGGAATATGTGTTCCCAGCAATGAAACAGAACTGCATTCATATTGCATTTCAATTAAGAACACTTTTTTGTAAAATTTTAATTTTATGTCTCTGCAGATTAATGTAGCGTATTGATAATTACACAGCATATTGTTTAGTTACACATGGTGAACTCGTTCAAAACACTTAATGGGAATAACATTTCTTTTACGTATGTACAAGTCAGAAGACAGTGTCAGAACAGATACAGTACCGATTCTAATGTTGTATTAACAGGGACTGTTCTACTTTATTTCTGAATTTAATGAGGTAAACTGGATTCTCATCTGGTATTTCCCAGTTTGTAGAATCAACGACACACTTTATCTCCAAAGACGAATATTTCACAAATCTCACAACATTAACCTTAACAAAACATTAACATGGACTACTATTTACTATTGGAGTGAGTTTTTGGAGTCTAAAACCTATACCCAGCTTTCGCCACAAGGTTCTTAGTGCTGACCACTTAAATGGTCATAAACATAAATATTGATTTTTATCAAGAGCAACAGTTACTGTTTTCATTAACTAATCCTCCATAGGGGATGCTGCCACTTGACAGACTGACAAAAAGAAACTTCAATAATTCAACAAACATGGATGTCCAGTTTATATCACATCACTCTGAATAACTGCTTATCCAATTCAGGGTCATGGTGGCCTGGAGCCTCTCTCAGGAAACATGAGTTGCAAGGTAGGACACAGTGGCTAGCACTGCCTTGCAGTGCTGGGGCACATGGAGTTTGCATGTTCTCCCTCTGTTTCTGAGTGTTTCTTCTAGGTGCTCTGTTCTCCTCCCATGGTCCAAAGACATACAGGTAGGTTAATTGGCTTCTAGGAAAACTGACCCTGGTGTGAGTGTGTGCGTGTCTGTGTGTGTGTGTCCAGGGTCCAGGGTGTGTATCCTGCCCTGACCTTGTTTCTTTGCCAGGTTAGATTGTGCCGCTGACCCTGTATTGGAAAAAACAGGTAGAAATAGGATGGATGGATGAAAAATAAATCATGTTCAAACCTAAAATGTAGTCTTATTTATACAGTTTACACCCTATTACTTATTTTTACGAAAAACAAACTTGTATAAGGAAGCCCCACAACATAAACCACACCTAAAGGCATTGAGAAATAAACATTTATTTCATCCATAGGATGGATGGATGTAAAAGTAATCAAATTTAAACCTAAAATGTCATCACTTGATGGAACTTACAACTTTTTTTCATGAAAACAAGCTTGTGTAAGGAAGACCCACAACATAAACCACACATAATGGCATTGAAAAATAAACGTATTAGGAAAACTCTGCAAGATCCACTTATCTGGAATCTATTTCTTGAAAAATTCTAATTTTAATGCTAAATGTCGTTTTAAAAAGGCAGATGGTTTTTGAGATAGTGATAATTCAATATGGGCAGAAAATTGCATGTCAATTCTCTTTTGTGTTGCTTAGATCTATAATGGCACAATGGATTGAATAAACTCCTCTCATCCAGTATTTCTGATGTTATTTCTGCTACACGTAGGGAGCCATTTACACTAAATACAGGTTAGATTATAACAAGTTAAATAAAGAGTTGCTTAATACAAGAGAAATGTTAAAAGCCATTTTTGAAACCTGCTGGACTAAAGCATTAGGGATGGTAATTGTGCACAGATTTTGAAGGCAGTGGCTATGCTGCCTTTTCCAATAATTGCATTATTTAACGTCGTTAAACCAACATCCTGATACATTAGGATGTTCTACTTTTGTTTTTTCTTTAGTGGTGTTATACGCAAATCTGCACATTACATTTCATTAGATGCTGTCAAGACGTTAGCCACCACAGCACCAAGAAAGCATGTATTGAACATAGTCCTTCACCACTTTATGCATTTGATGTAGTGCCAGTTTTATTAATAAAACTATAGTGACAAAAGTAAAGATTATTAAAAGCTGCAAAGCACTTTGGTTGGTCTTGTTGAAGGCTACAACACCAGTATCTTTGTGGATCTCTCCTGATTTGAGGCAACCTCTGTGCCCTCTGGGTTTTGCTCCAGCCAAGTTCTTAATCACATGCTAATTGACTGCAGTTTTTTAATTATTTTGTGCTTATTTTTACGTTTGCTTGTAAAAGGTGAAAGGGTACTTGCAATTGGCATCTCCCATGAACGATTTAGTGAGTTTCAGAACAGAAATTCAGGTGTGTCAGCTGAAAATGGGACCAGTTCAGCAAAGCGGAAGTAAAAACACTTAGTCACTATGAGAGTGCCAGTACATTGCCATTCCCATCTGACAGTAACAAGGAAGCCAGTTCTTAATGAGCAAATTGAGGAGAGACTGCATACCATTCAGCATTCTGAAGTTATTGGAAATAATGTTCCTAAGAGTATTTGTGATATCAAGATCTAAGTGCCGGTAAAACTAATTAAGCAAGCAGGTCACTAGTACTGGATATTAAGGGCCTAGCTGGAATTAAATACAGGAGGTAGACCCCTCAGGATCAGATCTGGGAATCACCGGTCTAAGTAGTTGGCATATAACATTGACAGCTCTTTTACTGCTTTCACTAGATGTCACTGTTCACTCACTCCTACCCACTGTACTCTTTCCCAAATCATATCTTGTGCAAAAAGATTTTTTCCTGAAGTGGACAGATGAGTTCCTCTACCATCTTTTATGGATGTAAAAAAACATTTTTTTTCCTCCAGAGGTGCCTGTTTGTCCTACAAACCAAACCTTTCAGTTCTTTCATATTTATATTCATATAAAGTTCAAGTAAGCCAAAACCTTGTTTCTCTTTTCTTTTCAGCTTGGAATAAACCTTTGCCTGTTCCTTAACAACACAGAAAGTTCAGAATGTGAATGTAATGATTAATAACGAACTACAAAGTTAATTATTATGCATTACATTATTTAATTAACATAACTATGAACTTGTAGTGTGCTTCATAGGGAATAAATTCAGCAGGAAAACGCTGTGATTCAGGTATCTACAGTATATCAGTCTGAAATGTGTTCACAATTGTATTTTTTCTTAAACTTATCCAGAAAACTGTTTGACTTCACTAAAAAATATAATATTAGACAGAAAACCTTCACAAAAACATCTTTTCACTACAGGGTCATGAGGGAACCAGAGCCTATTCTGACAAGCAGTGGGTGTAAGGCAGGATACACACTGGACAGGACACCAGTCTATCACAGGGCATACACACACACACACCCAATTAACCTACAGGCATGTCTTTGAACTGTGGGAAAAAACTGGAGCACCCAGCAG